GTCACTTTTATGCTGTTTCTGTCCCTCCCGTCCATTTGTCCAGTTAGTTTGGACGGAAAATCGCACGTGCGCCGCACGTGACACACAAAAGCAGCTCAACACCTCAACACCTCAACACAAAAACACCTCAACACCTCAACACCTCAAAATTCTCTGCCCTAAGCCCCAATTTTCTAAATCTCTCAATTCCTTATGAATTCATCATTGAAAGCACAATTAGAAAGTGGGCAATTCAAATTTTGAAGCTTCTTCAGCGCAGGTAGATAATTTCACTTCTTGCGGTCGCGAATTCGAAGTAAATTTTCTTCTCTCTTTATTTATCCTAGATTTTAATTTGGAAACAAAAATTAAGATTTTGTTGTTTTATATTGGGGAATGGAGCTTGAAGGATGAGTCAAAATAGTGGTTCTAGCTACAATTCAAGATCTGCTAGAAATGAAGTGTTTTATTGTAAATGTGGAGATGAGATGCCATTGTTGACCTCATGGACTCCTAGTAATCCAGGAAGAAGATTTCGTGCCTGTCCAAACTATGAGGTAATTTTTTTTTTTGTGTCTGTGTGTGTGTGTGTGTGTGTGTGTATGTGTGTGTGTGTGTGTATGTGTGTGTGTGTATTGATATTATTTGTCACACACAATTGTGTTTCTTTTGGAACAGAGAGTTAAAAACTGTGATGTGTTCAAATGGCATGATCCTGAGATGTGTGCTAGATCAAAGAATATTATCCCTGGATTGATAAGAAGAATAGACCGTTTGAATGATGAATTGGCTAGCTATAAGGAAAAAAGAGATATAAGGGCAAATGACGAAGATATGATGGCAAATGAAGAAGCTATGATGGCAAAGCAAGAAGATATGATGGCAAAGGAAAAGAAGTCCTATGAAAGAAAAATAAAGAAAATGGAGAATTTAATTGTGATGTATAACAATAGAATGAAGATCTTGAAAGTTCTTTTGATTGTCTTAGGTTGTTTAATTGTCATTGTAATGATGAAAATTAGTGGTTAGAATTTTCAGTGATTAATATTAGTGGTTAAGATGTAGTTGTTTGTGATAACATTGTTGTTTTTCTTGTCCAATATAATGCAAGTTTGTATCTCAATTATGTTTGCATTTTTGGTACATGTTAGCAAATTCACAAAATAAATGCAAGCATCACTTACAAAAAATAAAATAAATCATAGAGTACATTATTGATTCCAAAAACATCATTTAGATTCCAAAAGCATCATTCAAAGTACAAACATATGATTTGTTTGCAAACATGATTCAAATTACAAACTTGTTTTCAAATGACATCTCACATTAGAGTACATCAAACTAAACTGCAAGTTCACAAAAACACTCATAATTCAAAGTACTTCATAGAACAAATTACATATTCCTAAAAACACAAGATTGTCTTCAAAATAAAAATGCCATCTAAGACTAAGATGCAAGATTGGAACCACCAACAGACTTAGATGCAGAACCACCAACAGCCTTAGATGAAGAATCACCAACAGACTTGGACTTGGACTTGGAATGTGAGGCACCAGCAGACTTGGAATGTGACACACTTGCTTTCAGATTGTTCAGAGTGATAAAATTGAGTCCCCCTTTGACAATAACAGGAGTGTTAACTGTTGGAGATGATTTGCTGGCTTGAAAAGCAATTGTATTTGTCCTTCCTTTAACATTCACATTCTTTTGAGAAGGCCTTTTAACCTGTAATTATCCCAAATAAGTTTATTAAATACTAATTCATAAAAGACTATAAATATATTTTAACCATACTGAAAAATAAAAAAAATAATTGAAACCTGTAATTTTGTTTTTCTCTGTGGTGGTACACTTGAAACAGAAGCTTGAGTGGCCAAGTAGTCTTGAGGAACTTCAAATACAGACTCATTTTGTTGGCCAACTGGATCTCCAGTTCCACTTTGGCTTGCTTGCACCTGCTCAACTGCAGAAATTTTTCTTTTCTTGCATGTTTTTGAGTTATGGTTTGTGCCCCCACATGTCTTACATTTATTGTTTCTTTTAATTCCTCTCAATCTATGTGGATTTGCACCTGGGGCAGGGGGTTCATCAGGTTCTCTCCTCCTTAGCCTTTGAGGCCTGCCAGCTTTTTCAATGTAGTTTGGAGGCAGTGGAGCTTCTAGTGAACTTTTGGGCCACAATTCAGGTCCATTGAAGCCTAAGATTGGAGGCTCATAAACCTGTAAATATGTCTCAACCTTGTAACAATTATGTACATATGATTCAGGCTCCTCATTTCTGCACCATATTGATGAACATGCATGTTTACAAGGTATGCCACTTAAATCCCATTTTTTGCAGCTACACTTTCTCTCCAACAAGTCAACAGTGTGTTGGTCAAATGGACCAATAATCTGAAAATGATAATCATCACATTTCATAGGTATACACTCCCCAGCCTCTTCCATAATCTTCATCAAGATCTTTTTTATCTTTGGACACAAGAGACCTTCCCATTTTGCAGCTTTTTCCTTGTTAGATTGCATCCTAGTCATTAACAGATTTCTAATAGTTTCAAGCAAAGAAATTATTGGTTTTTCTCTTGCTTCAAGAATGAAACTATTGAAACATTCACACATATTGTTCAGTAGGATGTCACACTTAGGATGTGGACTGAAATGGGATCTAGTCCAGTTTTGAGGAGGCTTTTTCACTAACCATTGATAGGCATCTTCATCAATGTCTCTCAACTCTTGCATTTTTCTATTAAATTCTTCAACCCTGGTTGCTTTAGCTGCCCCCCATAATGCTGTCTTGATTGCCAACCCAGTGAATCCATCCCTCTTCATATTGCTATGTAAATGTCTCACACAAAATCTATTTTCAGCATTGGGAAACAAAGTTTCAAAAGCTGGAATTAACCCTTTTTGCTTGTCAGACATAAAAGTCCAATTATGTTCATTTTCAAATCCAATATCTGCATTCAACAAGTTCAAAAACCAGATCCAACTGTCCTTTGTTTCAGATTCAACTATTGCATATGCAATTGGGAAGATGTTGTTGTTTGGATCTAACCCAACTGCAGTTAATAGTTGACCTCCATGCCCACCCTTCAAGAAACAACCATCTACCCCAATTATAGGCCTACAACCATTTTTAAACCCTACCTTGCATGCATTGAAACACATGTACAACCTATGGAATCTTCTCTCCTCAGTCAGCTTCATGATAACTGTAGAACCTGGATTAGTTCTTTCAATTTCTAGACAGTAATCATAAATTTTTGAAAATTGTTCCTCCAAAGTTCCCTGGATTATCTTAATTGCCTTTTTTCTTGCTCTGTAAGCCTGTGATCTGGTTATATTGGCCTTCAAAGTTGTACAAATTTCACTTCTGAATTCATTTGTACCCAACTTTGGATTGTCTTTCAATTTTTTCATAAATGTTTTGCCAATCCAACCAGACTTAAGGCTTGTATTGTTATAATTCCAGGAACATTTAGTGTGTATTGGGTTATAGGTTTTCACTTGCCAAGAGTGGTCATTTTGCATTTTGGAGACATGAATGTACCATCCACAACCCTCTTTTTTACACACAGCCCTGAGTCTAATGGCATCATTTTTTGGAAATTTCACCATCATACCCCTCCTAAAACAATGAGACTCAATAGCAAATTTTGCCTCTTTTTTGGAATTGAAAATCAAGCCTAGCATGATGTCTGGATTCTTATTCTCAGTTTTAGGATTAAATTTGGGGAACTTCATTCGACCCTTACCCTCATCCTCATCACTACCATTTGAGCTGTCAAAATCATCATCACTAACTACACAATCTTCATCACCTTCTTCATTTTGCAGCCTATTATACATTTCCTCACTAATGAAATCATCATCTGCAACAGACTTACCCTTACCCAACCCCCCAAACTCAGCCTCAGGATCTACAAATTGCTCAAACAATTTATCATCATCTTCCATGTCATAATCACTTTGATAAAACACATCATCATCCTCACTAAATTCATCAGATTCACTATTCTCTCCCTCCAACCCTACATCATCAATTATAACAGCCTCATTGACTAACCTACCCCCAGTTTCACCCTCCACATCCACTCCCAGATTGAGATGTTCAATAAATATCTCAACTTCCCAATTTTTTGGAATATGCCCTCTTATATTAAACACATCACTATCAGTCTCAATACACTTGCAGTGTTTATCAAAACTTTTTCCATGCTTAAGCCAAAACCTAAGACTCCATTTTTCAGTGTACCCCAGCTCCTCAGCAAAACCCCAAAAGTCAAACATCCCTATTTGATCTATATCGACAAAATCAAACCATTCAAGACTTCCTCCTATGTACTCTCTTTTTGGAGAGTGCTTCATAATTCCACCATGTCTCATTTTAATGGTGAAACATGTTAATTCCCCAACACAAGCTTTATTTAAAATAATTAAAAAAAAAAAAAAAAAAAAAACTCCAATCAGTAATCAGCTAAGGCAAACAATTTCGCTCAAACAAAAGTAAATTTAAACAAAGGAAACTTACCGTAATTCGGAGTACATTCTAGCATCAGTGAAGCTCTTCTCGACATTTTTGTTGTCCTTAGATGAAGAACCCTAGTATTTGTCGCAATTCCGTAGCTCCACTCCAGAAATTGTAATCTACTCCAAAAATCGTGATCAGTGATAATATTGGTGATTGAACACTTTTTTACTTCAACAAACTAGGGATTTACAGGTGAGATGTGGAAGAAATTAGGGATTTAGAAAAGGGGGCATTTGGATTTCAAGAGAGAATTAGGGCAGATTGTGTTTACCTGTAACGCGTGATTGAACGTTTTGAGGTGTTGAGCTGCTTTTGTGTGTCACGTGCGGCGCACATGCGATTTTCCGTCCAAACTAACTGGACAAATGGACGGAGGGACAGAAACAGCATAAAAGTGACATGTTTAGGGACGAAAATTGTAACTTCATCTTGTTTAGGGACGAAAATCGTATAAGTGGTAATGTATAGGGACGAAAAGTGTAATTATCCCAAAAAAAAACAAAGAAATTGAATGATATTTAATTTACTCAAACAAGACTACTACCGTTCTCGACCATCGTCCACGGCGGGGACACCAAACCACCACCACTCTCTGCCGCAATATACACCACTCTCTCATAGCAGAAACAGGTTTGTCGGGCGCCAAGCACCTCTCATCTTCGTCCAATTTTCTCAACTCGATCACCTGCAAATTCACTTCCGACAAACGCGCACCAGGCTCTCAATTTCTGCAGCACCAGAAGATGCCTCTTGTCGATTAATCTGCATTTTTCCAGCCACACGAACTGTTCGACAAAATAGTCAGCTCCTCGCCGCCGTAGGCGATGGCGTGGAAGAGAAAATTATGCTGAAAGTGGGAGGCGGAATGGGAGGCGGCAACAAGGTGAAGTTGGCGGTGGATGGGTGTCTGCGGGGAGAAGGGCGACAGAGACATGTTGTGGAAGGAAAGGGGTGGGGCCGGCGGAGGTTGGGGCGGGAAGAGGTGATTGCCGGAGCTAGTGGCGATTTCAATGGGGAATAAGAAGAAATTTGGGGGAGGCATGTTCTTCTCTCCGGTAGGAGGCGGCGGCATAACGAGGTGAGTGCCGGTGGTCGTGGTTGGAGTTTGGCGGGGGTGGTGGCGATTTCAACGGGGAAGAACAAATTTAGGGAATACGATATTTTTCCCTAAAAAGTGTTTTCAACCCCCACAATTTTATAAATGTAATGTATTTTTCGGAAAATTACAATTATGTCCCCTAACTTATTATTTGATTAAGTTTCCACAACTTTTCAGTAATTCAATTTGGTCCCCAAATTTTTTTGCAGAAACCTCCCCAGTGTATTTATGTCCTCTACCGGTCAACGGGAAAAGAGGAAATGAGTCGAGTATGCTTTGTAAACATAAATGCATGGGGGTATTTGCTAATTTTTTATGACATGGGGAAAAAACGCAGTTGCAATTTTCACAGGGGTCGTAATTGCAAATAAACTCCAGATTATATAGAAGATGGAGGAGAAAGACGTACAGGAGATTGAAGAAAATGCATATAAGCTGGCTGGGACTTTATTGATTTTGACTAATTTTCATAGGGGGGTCATTGTTATTTTTTTAACACGAGGGTTTTTCTAGCAATTCAACTTTACATAGGGGTGGTTTTTGCAAAAACAACCGTGTTTAAATGGTAAGCGTAATTCATATGTCATAAAAATTAGTTGCGCGTATTAATAAAGAATGTGTAAATTTAGGTGATGAGTTTATTTACAGAACAAAAAAATTTGAACGTCCCGTTCTTAATTAAGTCAACGTGTATATGTCATGAGTCCCATAATAGGATGTAAAAATCCAGACATGTGTAAATGAAATGTCGATCGTTCTTTATTTGTTTTCCTACATTAATAGGGAACTTAGCACAAAATTAAGATTACTAAATTTTGTTTCCGCAATTATTGAATTCCAAAATTGCTAAAGGATATGTTCAAGCGATCCAGTGAATTGTATAAATGTCAATTTCAAGGTAAAATAAATGATCATGGGTATAGTCCAATTAGGTTTGGGCACCTTGTAATTTACAATCTGATGGTTCGCCGGAACATTGCGGTCTGCTGTCGCAAACACCGTTGTTTCAGTTCCATTGCAACGTCGCGGCCGGAACGAGCAAATTATAATTAAAATGCAAACAAATTGAATTAATGTCAAATACGTTTTTAATATTAATATTACAATAGAATAATACACAAACTATCATTACAACTACAATTTTAAATTTTAGAACAATTCTTAGAATCCTGAGTAGTAGAATTAAGGGTGAAATTGTAAGTTATGAATTTATCTATTTACTTTTAGAGAAATACAAAATAATTAGGTCTAGATTTCAAATTTTGAAAACATAAGAAGCCTACTCATAATTCTCGCATATCGTTCCCTAGCCACAAATTAAACAATAGTTAAATTGTTGGAGCTATTGTAACTTTTTTAAACGTATAAGAGATTAAAGAAAATGCAGTCAGTTGTTTACATATAAGTTGGCTGGGACTTTATTGATTTTAACTAATTTTCATAGGGGGTCATTGTTAATTTTAACTAATTTTACTAAATTTACACGAGGCATGTACTACACGTGCGCTGAGAATAAACTACATTTATTTGTTTAGCTATGCAAGACAAACTGTTGTATTTTTCGTAAAATTCATTTTTGGGTGTGAAGGTAGACTAAGGTTCATCCCGGCAAGTACAATGCACATTTTTGGGGATAATTACACTTTTCGTCCCTATACATTACCACTTAAACGATTTTCGTCCCTAAACAAGATGAAGTTACAATTTTCGTCCCTAAACATGTCACTTTTATGCCATTTCTGTCCCTCCGTCCATTTGTCCAGTTAGTTTGGACGGAAAATCGCACGTGCGCCGCACGTGACACACAAAAGCACCTCTACACCTCAAAACGTTCAATCACGCATTAGTATTTAATAAACTTATAGTATTAGGTTCCACCCCTTCAGTCTTCATTTTCTCGACGATTTTTTCCATCCCACTAATATCATTGGACAACCCTTTGGCACTTGTCAAAACGTGGTAAGTGAAGTATGATGGCTTGATATTTTCTTTCTCCATCAACGACAAAACGTCAGAAATTTTCTTGTTGTCGGTTCTCTTGTACAGAAGTAACAACTGATTGCAAGAAAAGCATGTAACAGGGAATAAGCTCTTCATTTTGTTGAAGAGATCTTCGGATTTCTTCACATTGCCTGTAGAGACGCAGTTTGCCAGTAGGGTACGGTAGACAATTTCACCTCTAAAAGATTCGGGGATTCGCTTAATGTACTCTTCTGCCTTGGGTATACCATGGACTTTGACGATTAAATCAACACGAGAGGCGTAATTACTCTCGTTAAACTCAAGGAGCTTTGTCTGCTCCAACCACTCCGACATCTACAAAAAATATAAAGTGGAAAAGTTAATTCCCCATCCAAATCTCGTATATCCAGAGACAAATACATGCATATTGCATCAGCCAACTTATAAAAGTAGAAAAACTTTATACGATACCCATGCAAAAGAAACCGATACAATCGGAGCACCCAGTACAGCCTTTGTGAATGCTGAATGAGGATTAGTTTTGGGAAAACTTTTCTTTTCAGCATCACCCTCAGTAGTGACACTCTCACCCTCGTACAGATCTGATTCAGACATTGAATCATCTACGTCATCTGCAGAAGCAGCTTTTCGGACTGCACCAAGTGGAGCTTCGAGTTCGGAAAAAGCATCCTCCAAATCATCATCTTGCTCGACTCTGCTCTTTGCACCGGCTTTTGAAAAAAGAGTGCGTACATTCATATACGAGTTTGAAGAGCTTGGTGATGCATTGAAAGATCTCGTTGAACACACCGATGCATCTAACAGGTTTCTATGAGATTCCACAATTTCGGTATTATAGTTTTCGGAGTAACATATTGATGTATCCGATTTCACAGAGCGAATTCGAGCAATCCCTGAATTTAATCCTCGATTCCTGGAGAGAGAGAAAGAGATGTTTTACACATCACAATAATGACATTACAATAAATTGCTCTGCCTTTTATTAATGGAACAGACTTATTTTGAGGTGTAGAGGTGCTTTTGTGTGTCACGTGCGGCGCACGTGCGATTTTCCGTCCAAACTAACTGGACAAATGGACGGAGGGACATAAACGGCATAAAAGTGACATGTTTAGGGACGAAAATTGTAACTTCATCTTGTTTAGGGACGAAAATCGTTTAAGTGGTAATGTATAGGGACGAAAAGTGTAATTATCCCCACATTTTTGTTCAATTTACACAAATTTAGTTGATTAATCGAAATGATAAAAGTCAAAACTAAGGAAGAAACCAGATCTTTTTAAGGTGATAAATAATAGCAAACGAAATACTTTAGCTCTCCAACGTGGCCCATATAAGGTAAAAACATGTAAATATATAATTTATTTTACCGTAAGAATATATGGTCTATTTTTGGGGGGGGGGGGGGGGGGTGTGAGGAAAAAAAAAAAACAGAGTCAATAATCGTAAGAAAAAAAAAACAGTCAATAATCGTAAATTCCAATATTTTTTTATATATAATTCCAATTAAACACACTTTTGCCTTTTTTTGAATGAATTTGATCTTTAACTTTCACCTCTAGTTCAAATACATTCTCCCCAATACAATTGCAAATTCAATTTTATTCATGAAACATATAAAATAAATCAATTAGTTACAAAAAAATTATACAAAAAAAAGAAGAAAAAAAAAAAGAGAAAGGGAGAAGGGTGGCGGAGAGACGTCGTACAATAGAAGCGTCCATTTGTACTGAAATTGTGGAATGATAGGAGACAAGGCCGAATTTTATAAATACCAACCCTTATAGTAAATCTGCATGCATTAATTAATTCGACAGAAAGAAAGAAAAATGACTTATTAGAGAGAAATAATTAAATCAATATGTGATCGATCGATCGATTGTAATAACAATAGCAATGAAGTCGTACTATTCGCCAGGTTATCGTTTCGTGCTGACAGATGAAGAACTCATCTTTGATTACTTACTAAGGAAGATCAGCAATCCGCCTCTACCAGCCGACGTTATTAAAGTTGTCAACTTTTCCGATCACGGTCCCGATACTTTGTCACGTACGTGATTTTTCCAGTATTGCATTGGAGAAGACTTTGTTTTCAATCTTGCCAGTATTGTCTTGTTTTTCGTGGGTGACATCATCATTGCGGAACATGCTGATAAAAACTCCCTTGCTATTGAGAATGAAGACTCCCTTGCTGATTTTGTTGCTGATTTGGTTGTTGAACTTGTGATAATGCTTCCACGAAGCATTCTTCTTCTTCTTTCGGCATTAATAGTGCATTAATGTTTACAAAATCGTCGAAACACTCTTCTTCCTTGTCGTCCTTGCGTTTGCGTTTGCATTTGCATTTACCGCCACATTAAAATTATCATGTGGATTTTGATCTCCAACGACTGATTGCATGCCTGCATGATTAGTTTTTTCATCTTCAACGACTAATTGCATGCCTCCGTGAAAAATCAGGAAGAAAAAAAAACTGTCAACGCCGGAGACCGGTGGCCAACGGCGGCAACGGTCGAAATTGTCGATAAAATTGCGGTTTGGATCAAAATTGAATAATTTGGGAAATTTGGGGTCAAAATGAGGTTAGATTAAATAAAAGGATGAAATTGGAGCATATTAAAATGTGAGGGGCTATTTTAGCCATTTACAAACCTCTGGATCATATGTGGACTTTTTTGTAGAAGAGTTTTTTGTCTGGACTCATTTATGAATAAGTAGTCATTGATTGGCTTATTTGTAAAGTGCCCATTATGTTTAGGGCAAATGACAAAGAGGGACATGACAAGGGAGTTAAAATGCACATTGGTCCAAACAAAAAACAGTCTTCCAAATAAACTCATCCTCATGTCATTTGAATAAAATACCCTCCATAATATATTTTTTTATAAATTCCATCCATTATACTCTAACTTCCTCAATATTACACATAGACCCCTCATTTAAACAAATATATCACATTAACCCTTATTTTAATAATTTTTTGAACAAATAATTTTTTTATGAATTTTTTTTCCGGCCACACACCGGCGTTGACCATTAATATCTATTTTTATTCATTATTTTTTTCAATTATTTTTTTCTGATTTTGTTTTCCGGCCAGTCAACCGCCGGTTTCCAGCATTGACTTTTTTTTTTTTTTTGATTTTTTTATTAAAAAACTTATTTTAATTAATATTACTGTCTTGGCTGCTAAATTAATGTCTCCAACAATAATTTAACTGTCGGAGACCGGCGGTCTCCGGAGTTGGCGGGTCAAAATTGGTTAAATGATGAAATTGCGGTGTAAATCATGAAATTGGAGTTGAAATAAGGTTTCAAGGAATTGAGGGTAATTTTGGTATATATAAAAAGATTTTCCTTATTTGCAAATAAGTTTGAATGAGCTGGAATTATTTGAAAGACAATAAAGTTGGATGCCCATTTTTTAGTTAAGTGCCCTTGTCATGGGTATATATATATTACAAATAAGTCCATCATGAGTTACTTATTCTTAAAGGGGTCCATAAAAAAAAAACTTTTACAAAAAAATCATCTATAGACACCCGTATGAATTGTTTTTAGTTTTTTTCGGCCGAAGTCATCTATAGACTCCCGAAGGACACCGTAGTCATCCACAGTCATCTGTGATTACATATTCTTAAAACCTTAACTCCTCCTTTGAACAGTAGCCGCTAGATACACATAGTCACTCAGTGACAACTGTAGACATCAAATCAAAAAGTCTTAGATCCGCCCCACCAAACCCCATATCCCCTCCACCAAACCCTAGATCCGCAACGCCAAGGCCACCCACGCCGCTAAGGATGCCACCCACGTCGCCATCGCCATCTCCTACCCCCAACATCGGCCCGCCACCAGGACCATCCCCCAAGCCCAGTGTCGTAGCCCAACGAGCGCCATCGACATGCCTAGCGTCACGCCACCACCAGCGCCTTAAGTTTAGGGTATTATTGCAAGATAGAGATTAAAAAAAAAATGAAGAATGTGGGTCATATATTATTTCGAATTAAGGATTTAATTAAAAGATTGGATTTGAATTTTTTACTTACTTCAAATTGTGTTTCATTTTAGGGGCTCATAGCATATTCGTAGTAAAAATAAGATTTGAAATCCTCAAAATTCTAATGTTATTCATTTAAATTTTATAAACTAACTCAAAAGGTTCTAAAATTTCCAAAACATTACATCTTTAATTGAAGGAAAAACTAGCAAGACCCCGCTCATTTGACAAGTTCATGTAGGAGGAGACCCCCGTTTTTTTTTTTTTTTTTTTTTTTTTAGAAAAACCCCTTGGTTGTTAGATTGAGTAATTAATATAAGTAAACTACTAAAACTATATTTATTGATTTATAATTGCTTAATTCTATCTTATCGCTTATATTACGTCGTTCTCTCTTATGTCTCATATATGAGAATTACTTCTCTTCACAATCTCTTCTCATCTCTTCTCTCTCTCTCTCTCTCTCTCTCTCTCTCTCTCTCTCTCTCTCTCTCTCCTTCTCCGTGTTATTTTTCGCATTTTCTCTGTTTTGTTTCCGACAGATGGGCTATTGGTGGCCGCAGTGAGGAGGAAGTAGTGGTGGTAACTTTTCCGGCCTTCATTTGTTGACCCGTGTTTAAGTTTCGATGCTGCTCTGTAATCGAGGTAGGTTCAATTTTTCATACGCCGAATTCCAGCGAGCTGTTGATGAGAATGGTGAATTTGTGATGGCCGCGACGGCTGAGGGCGGTGTTGTTGGTGTACAGGGATCGGATGATGTAAACACATAGTTGAGTAACGTAAATCGGCTACAAAATTCATAGTCAATTAATGTAAATGGACTACAGAATTTTCGAAGTTGTGTTTTTTGTTCCGGGCTCTAACATAGGAGTTAAAACTCTGAGGCGTACGGCGGTAGTGCCCTAGATAGGTCGGCGATTTCGTAAATTAGTTTTGTGGTGGTTTCTCGTGCTTGAAGAATGGGATTTCACGGTTTGAGGATTCGCAGTTGATGTTTGGGAGAAGTGGAGCGCAATATTTGGGATTTGATTTTTTTCATTTTTGTAAATTAGAAAAAATAAAACGGGAAAGTGGGTATGTTAGAAGGGTTTAATTGGGATGAAAAAAAACTATGTAGTATGGACACGAAGATGGCGATACGGGGAAACAGGGATATAAACACGGGGAAATGACATGTTCCAAAAATAGGGATAAGGGAGCTTGGGAGAAACGTGTACATACTAAAAATAAGGGTGTATATTTATAATATGCTATATAAACATATAGGGAAAATGTAGGTTACCCCCTAATTTTGAAAATATATAGGGATAGATCCTATGAATTTTTTCTTCCCTAGTCAAAAATCCAAATTCTAATCTTAAATTGATAGATCCCCTAAACAAATAAAAATACCCGTTTCACCCTTGTATAAACAATTTAAAACCCTAACCTCTTAACATTTTCACCCACTCCCTCCCACATTTTTTCCAGCCGTCATTACTCACCTCTCCCACTCTTTATTTTTTTCTCTCTCTTCATCTCTCTCTCTAACTCTCTCTCTCTTCTCTTTCTTTCTCTCTCTCCATCTCTCTCTCTCTCACTCTCTCTCTTTTCTCTTTTTTTCTCTCTCCTCATCTCTCTCTAAATCTCTCTCTCTGTGGCTGCCCACAGCCCTCCGCCGCTGCGGCTGCTCCCCCACCTCCTTGCGCCGCCGCTAGGGGTGAGGAAAAAAAATCCGAAAACCGAAAAACCGGACCGAAAACCGAAAAACCGACCCGAAGTATGCCGTCCCGAAGCAAGAACCGAATATACGGTTTTTTATTTCCGCCGAACCGAAATTTTCGGTTCACACTCGGTTTTTCAAGTGGTTAACCGAGCCGATGTACCGAACCGACCCGAAACGACGTCGTTTTGATAGGGCCTAATATATATTCCTGATTTTTTTTTTCTCTGAATTTTAATGTGCCCTAGCCCAATAACC